CATCTATACGACAGTAAAGACCTATAACTGTTGTATGTTGTTTTTTTCTCTTGGTAAAAGTCATTAAAACGTGGAAGGGGAGAAAACTACGATTAAAAAAAATGCTCGATAAATGTAATACAGAAATGTTTTGTTTTTTTTAATTAAATTTTAACTAATCTTAAGGGTCATCAGTGGCTGGACATAGACATTAAGAATTATTTTCTTTATACCACCGGTTCTATATTTTTAAAAGTATCCAGTGTTCTAAACTGTATTTTATTTTATGTATTTATTTATTTTTTTTTAAAAAGGAAACCTCAGAATTTGCGCTATTCAATTTTAGCTTTATCATCATAGGAATCTTTGGGCCTTAGGCCTCTATTCATTTCTTTGCCTCTTTTTTGGGCTTAATGTGCCTCTTTTGTGGGCTTTTTTTTTTTTTTTTTTTTTTTTAACTTAGTTTTTTTTTTTTACATAGTTGCTACAGTTTGCTTCTAATAAGTCCCTTACAGTACTTCTAACTTGAAGGAATAATGGACATTCCAAATACATATGTTTCTCATTGTCAGCATTTTCAAGATGGCATAATATACAGGCACGGTCATTTGCTCGTCTTCTAACCATAGGGGTCATCCCAAAGATAAGTCTATAACTTATCTCTCTAGCTTTTTGTGGGATATGTTTGCTGTGTAGGTTTATGAATGTGTCCTTGAATTCTGTCACCCCGAGAACTCTCCCCCACTTAATCCTATTCACTAGACTTTCATGTAACAGCTTTTTAAGTGTTGTGTATGATTCTTTGGTTTTGTTGTGTATTAAATGTTCATTACCAGGTAAAATTCTGGAAATAGACCTGTAAAATGGATGAGTGACTATACCAAAATAGTGAGGAGTATCATTGTGTATTGGAAGAAGACTACTTAATCTTAAACCATAATAGTAAATTGTCAAGGGAAAATTTGTTGGGTTTCTAACTACTTGACCTACAAATTTTAGCCTTAGCGAATGTATTTTTGTTTTGACACCTTGTAAGTTTATCCCCCCATCCTCTTTGTTTTGAATGAGTGTAGTGTGCTTAATGCTCCTAATAGTGATTTTAAATATAAAGCTTTTAATTAACTTGTTCAGCTTGTTTATGAATTTAGGAGGTGGCTCTGTGATGTTAGCTAAAAAGATAATCTTTGGAATGACCAAACTATTTATCAATACAGCTCTACCAAATATTGTAGAACCTGTGTGCTTATAAAGTTTTAGCAAGTTTGAGGCTTTGACAAAAATATTCTCCCACTGGTCTTTACAATAGAATAAAGGATTACAGGTATAGACAATACCACAAATCTTGATTTTATCTACAATTTTGAAAGCGCAATTCTCTTTGAATTTCCATTTCCCTAGTCCCATTACAGAGGATTTATTTATATTTATTTTTGAACCACTAGCTTCTCCGAAGAGTGTAAATTTCTTTAGTATATTCTCAATATCTTGCTCTGAAGATGGAAAAAAAGTTGTATCATCTGCATAGGCTTTGACTTTGATGGTTGAGAAGGAGCGACCCGGTATATTAATCCCAATAATAGAGGGGTCAGATCTTATAGATTCCAAGAAGGGTTCCAAGCAAAGGATATACAAGAAGGGGGATAAGGGACAGCCCTGTCTGACAGACCTTTGTATGCGGATACTCCTACTGAGAGAATGGTTAATTATCAATCTACTTGTTGCATTTGTATAGACAAGCTTTATATATCTGATTAACAGGGAACTTATTTTACATTTCACAAGAAGCTATGGCTTACTCGGTCAAAGGCTTTTTCTTGATCTACAGATAAAAGAGACACATTGGATTTTTATCCTTACTGTACATGATAAAATCCCGTAAAAAATGCGTCATGCCGTCTATGTTTCTGTCAGGGATACAACAGTACTGGTCATATCCTATAAGTTGGTTTATGAGAGGTTTCATTCTTAGGAAAATCATTTTTGTGAGAAGTTTATAGTCTGCATTGAGAAGTGAAATGGGCCTAAAGTCGCTAGGTGAAGTGTTGTTTTCAGATTTCTTGGGTAAAAGCGTGATGTATGCTTCGTTAAAATTTGAGGGACATTGTCCCAGTCGAATGGCGTCGCTATGTAGTCGCAGTAAGAGAGGACCCAGCGCGGGGAAGGTTTTATAGAGTTCAAAGGTTAAGCCATCTGGACCGGGTGATTTATTGTTCTTAGTCGAGTCCAGGGCAGTCCTGAGTTCGTCTAGCGTAAATGCACTCCCTAAAAGATCTTCATCTGTCTTGTCCAGCTGCTTGCAAAATTTTAGAAAATTATCTTCAGCATCAGTATATACTGGCTCTTCACTGTATATAGTAGTGAAGTGTTTTGTAAAAATATTCTTAATATCCTCATAATTATCTGCTTTATTCCCCTCACTATCTATGATGTTGTTTATTATTTTACTTGATTGCACATTCTGTTCAAACGATAGTAATAGTTTACTAGGACCTTCATTACTTAAGTAATTTTTACACCTAATCTCAGCACCCCTATAAGTATACTTGTTTAATTCTTCTAGTTTTAAAAGAGTTTCTGTTTTAACGGTTTCATCATCCGTGTGTAATAATGTGGATTTGAGTTGTTCATATTCTTGCCTCCTACGTCCCTGAACTAATGTAGATATTAACTGGCTTTGCTGCTTGATAGAACTTTTTAGGAGTGGCCATATCTGTGTTAAATCGAAATGAGGATCATGTATATCTTGTAAGTAAGAATTTAGATTAGCAGAAACTAACTCCACGAAAAGGGGAATTTCCAACAGCGAATTGTTAAATTTCCAGTGGGATGACTTTCTTTTAATTGCTTTGTTTTTTATGTCTAAAGTAACTAGCACCGCTTTGTGGTCTGTGTATTCTAATGTTTCTTCCAAATGCGACACCCGACTTATATAGAAATGATTAGGAGCATACGCTCTATCTAAGCGTGTCGAGACGGGGTATGACCTATGCACCATGGTAGTGTCACGACCCATAGGTTCTAGTGTCCTGTAAGCGTCAACTAAATGAAAATTCTTCTCTATCTCCTCTAAGAAAATAAGATTCGGAAAGGTTTTATGAGAGGCAGGGCCCACCGCCAAAGTAGTCTGTTTATCTAATGCAGAAGTTATGTAGTTGAAATCCCCCCCTATGATTAGCGTATCCTCTCTATAATTGTTATTTAGTATATCGATCAAATTTTCATAAAAATCCTGTTTTTCCTTGCTCTTTGCTGGTGCGTAGATGTTTGCAAGTGTAAATGTTTAATTTCCTGATTCTACTCTAATGATCACTATTCTTCCCCTGGTGTCCTTAAATGCATGCACTACTTTAAACCTATCTGAGACTAGAAAAATAGCTACCCCTCTACACTCGTTACCTAAGCTAAACCAGCCCTCTTTTAGCCCTATGTCGGATGTGTATTTGCGTGATTTATAATGTGTGTCTATATTTGTTTCTTGAATGAATATAAAGTCTGGCCTGTATTTTTGCTTATTCCTAAGACTACGTATATTTAATGATAAAATTGTAATGTCTGTCATGACTGGGTGTATAAGTAAATTTAACCAGTTTTAGTGGTTGGTTATGGGTGTTCCCCCTCCTATATAACCAAATGAAATGCAGAAGTGATAAAACAAAAAATAAACAACAACTAAAGTATGTATATTTATGTATATTGGTTTTTATCTCGGTAGCAACGCAGATGTATAAAAAGTGTTTAACGTCATGAACGCTTATGTGTCTCTTGAGAGGAGCAAACAGTATGTTTATTTACACATTAGATTCCCGAAGAATGGAGATTCTACATAGAAGAGTAAACAAGTAAAGGGAAGCATTAGTAATGAAAAGCTACTCCTGTAACTGATTGGGTTTCGCTTTGTAAATCTATAAATAAGGGAGACTACCTAATCATTTGGGTTCGCAAATCAGTCTGTACAATTTGCAAAAGTCAGGCTTCATGTTTGTTGTAATAATGTGAGCTTCTTTTTAAATTTGGATTATAATGTGTATTAGTGTTTGATACATACTGTGTCCATACACAGCATACACATTTGAGGCCGAGGACAGACGTAGATGGCGAAAAGAAAGTCCAAATCGAACACCCGGCGGACAATGTTTATGCTTGCATTAGGTGTGGACAGATATGTAGGTCACAGCTGGGGCTGCGTTGTCACGGGCAATACTGCATTTTTAATCAATCTTCGGACTCGAAGAGAAGCCTTACTATTATTATGCCGTGAGTTCAATATGTTTATAATATCTACGCGAGGAATTAAACTGTTTCATTTCATAAAGAGAACCAGTAAAGAAAAAGTCCCCCTTTCAGACCTTGCGATGTATAGGGCAGATGATGTTAAGTTCATCTGTTTCTTTGTCCAAAGGTTAACCAGCAAGGTGTCATTTAAATAAATCTGTGCGAACACCCCCCCCCCTTTTTTTTTTTGTTGACATTCTTCTTGAAGGAGCGGTATTCGTATGTTTACGCCCATGCGTATTAATTTTTCGTACTCAGAGTTCATAAGGGTCTGCACATTTCCGTTTGAAATTAAAAAAAAAACGTTTCGAAGATACGCTCAGAAACGACTAGCCTCCACTGCCCACAGGTTGCCACGTCACAGGTCTGTGTTGAGGCCTAGCTATTGTGCCAATGTCGAATGTGTGAACAGGAGCAACGTGAACACAACATGATTGTCCACATGTGGCCAATGAGCTATTTGATATAAAAGCAAGAAGAACTTGGTTCTTGTGTGCACAAATCACGAACTACAGTTATATATATATATATATATATATATATATATATATATATATATCATAGTTTATTTATAAAAACAAAATATATATTATACAATTCTACAACATGTTATGTGTTAACAACTCTGATTATACATGTAATGGATATAAAATAATATTGTAGCATTATGGATATAAGATTAACAAGTAATCTGGGTTTATTTTTATTTGTCTAGCTATGGATGATATATATATATATATATATATATATATATATATATATATATATATCATATACATACCTACATACATATATATATATATATGTATATATATATATATTTACAGTACTTTTTTTGTGACGGTACGTTCCGGTACGCCGTACCGGCACCTTTTTTAATCTGGGGAAAAAATAGTACTTTTCTTGTATATTAACGACGTTTATTATTAATTTTTAGTAGTTAAAAGTTTGGCGATCCATCACTGAGTACCGGCACCTATTGTTTTTACCAAAAAAAAAAAGAGCACAGTATATATATATATATATATATATACATATATTTATTTATACAAATACATTTATAATTATATAGATAAGAATGAGCATGCAATAGAGTACAGTACTTGTCTCCATTCTCTACAGAGAAGACGAGTTTTTAGAACATACGAAAATGTTTGTTTACAAAATGTTTATAAGAAACAAAATATGAAAAAGAAAATCTTAAAAAAATGAAACAAAGCTTATCTATGGGAATGAACTCCGCACTTACAGCTACATCTATCAATAATGTTTCGATATCTAACACAATAATTAGTTACCAATAATAATGGACTAATTTGTTAATTTCTTAAGTCAGGTTTTGTTAGGTACAATAAATAATTGTTTACAGTTTGAACTTGATCTGAGAATGAGTGCACAGCGAGTTTATTTATCTAATGGGACAAAACTCCACACATTTAGCCGTGTCTGTGAATAACTGAAGGATTAATTTCCCTTTCTGGTATCAAACAAATTAATTTATCACCAGTGGTTAACTAGCTGGTTAACTTTTGTATTGTGTCATTTATTGTCTATGCCAATGAATATTTGGGCAAAGTTTCAACTTGATCGTAGAATGAATAAGGGAGAAATAACGTGTGCAAACTTTTAACAAGACAGACAGACAAACAGATAGACAGACAGAGTGGGCTAATATAAGCTTTGTAATAGTTCTAAAAGTTGCTACAGATGATAAGTAACGGATACAATAATATACTATATAAAATGAACAGCAATGGGCCACTAAATATAAACCCTAACTAATTACAAGAACAAGCTAAACATAAAAAAAAAAAATAAATGCAAAAACATTATTTACTAAGAAATCTGTTAATGATCTGCTAAAATATTACACACAAAAAAAAGACACAGTGAATGTAATTGTGTAATACGAACAATACCTCAACACACGTACAATAAGAATGTATTTCTAGTGAACATGTTTCTGATGAAGACTGAATGAAGGTATGGAGATGGCGTCTTGGTATCAGTTGTGTCATGATCTTAGTGGTTTGCTACTTTAGCTTTAGATTTTAGATCTTTTAAATTTAGATTTTCGTTTGAATCAGTCAAAATTGATACGAAGTAGAATGGTAGTTTAATTACTCGTATATGCTAATACATTTATTTTTTCTATAAACACACACACAGGAGCGGATTCAAGTCAGTGGAAGCACAGGGGCGGAAACATGTCAGTGGAGGCACAGGGGCGGATTAAAGTCAGTGGAGACGCTGAGGAGGATTCAAGTCAGTGGAGGCACAGAGGAAGATTCAAGTCAGTGGAGGTACAGAGGCGGATTCAAATCAGTTGAGGCACAGAGGAGGATTTAAGTCAGTGGAGGCACACAGGCGGATTCAAGTCAGTGGAAACAGAAGGGCGGACTCAAGTCAGTGGAGGCGCAGGGGAGGATTGTTGTGGAGGCCCCCCAGCCTGATGAAAATGAACTTAATTAATGCAAGGGTAATTACACATTATAAAAGAACGTAGCAGAAACACAAAGCGCTGATATTGTGAAGCAGATGCCAAGCAGACAGGCCGTAGATGTCAGTTGGAGAGACTCGCCCAGAACCCTAGACGCCTGGAGAAAGCTGATCGGTGACCCATGCCCCAGAGGAGACCACAGGCAGAGATGAGATGAAAATCGTTTGAGTAATACATTTAATCAAAGTTGTCCTTCCCTTTTTTTTAAAATATAGTTTGCACAATTTCTAAAGTTGTTTTTTTAAGTTTGACCCTCACCACTATATAAGAGAATGAGAGCCTTAGAAGCTGCAATATCTGCACTGTAGTAAATCCGGCCCTGTTCACACACACACACATACACATGTAAACACAGCAATTCCAAAGACTTAAATGGTCATGGGATATTTAAAAACTGGTCTAGATCTACAAAGTACAAGCACTGGATTTTTCAAAAATATACACTTAAAAGAGTCAAAGGGCCATTCGTATTTCTTAATCAAATTAGAATTGCCCCCCGTCAGAATCAGATGTTTCTACAAATGTGTTATATATTAAACTCGAAGTTAATTAATTTAAATCTTTGCAAAAAAAAAACAAATAGGGAGTAATTGAAGAATTTAGCAATGAGTCATAAGTTTGTATTTATATCTTCCCTTTTTCAATTTGTTTATTTCAAAACATTTTTCATATTTGGTACTTTTAGTCATATTTTGATGTTTTGGCTCTTCTGTAAATGTTTTGGCTCTTCTGTAAATGTTTTGATGTCCTTTTGATTGTCTTTTTCATTGTTTGTCTGTCCTGCCATTGTTTGTCTATTCTGTCTTTGTTTATATGTTCTTTCATCGCGCGTGTACTTAACGGTAATGCCTTGATACCCTTCATCCTTATGATGTCCTGTCATTAAACTTGAAACTGGTTTATAAGAGTGAGCAAGTTTTTTCAACAAACATTCGTTGTCCTAACTGGCAGTTAAAGGCTCTTCTAAATTCCGGAAGCTGTGATAACTCCAGGTTGACCCTGAAAGACATAAAAGAGATATTTAGCAATTTAAAATTGTTAACGCTATTTCTCCCTCACGCATTAAAGTTGATACGATAAACAATTATTTATTGTACCTAAGAAAACATGAATCCATAAACAAAAATACTCAATTAGTCAAATAATTATCGGTAATTAATTATTTTGTTTGATATCGAATAAGGGAAATAGCTTGTACATTATTGATAGTTCTAAGGAAAAAGATTACTTACACATGTATTTGCTTGTTTTTTTTTTAGTAAAGCCACACGGCAGCAGAGGTTTGAATTCATAGTTTAACCTTTCCAAGGTGGGTAGCCAGCCAAGGCTTACGAGCCCATCTTCCAGAAAGTTATTGGTTTAGGCACCAGTTTTATTGCCTAACGGTTTCACCGAAGCAATATCAATGCCAGACAAGAAGGCCAGGAGTTGAACTGGTTGTCAGAAGTGAGACAACAAGCCGTTGGAAGCATTTTTATATGTAATCAGAGGCGTAGTGGGCGAAACATTCGCCCGGGGCTAAAAAACTTTATTGGCTCCCCCCCCCCCTCTTTCATTTTCCATAAACACCACATACAAAAAATATAAATAAAAGGTATTAAAAATAATATAATACTAATAGCCTTAGATTGTATTACCTAACTAAAATATCTACAATAAATCTAATTTTTTTGACGCCTCTCTGTGTGTTGCGCCCACCCCCCTGAGGGCAGCGCCAGGGGCATCCTGCCCCCCCCCTTTACCCCCTTCCTCACTACGCCTCTGTATGTAGCGGTATGCTTACACCCATTACCGATTCCAGCAAATAACAACCTTATGTCTAAAAAGTTTTGTTTTTATTACGTAAGACAATTATTGTCCAATTTCTCACAGCGAAAACAAAATTTGTAATCACTGATACATTTCCTAATACACTTGATTTTATTTTTTAAAAATTTAACACTTTATAACAATTAAACATATTTTACGTGCGAGTGGGTTCTCTTTGAACCAATATCTAAGATTAAATTATGCCAGAACCATAGACATAAATAAATATAGACTGGCCGATAAAAGAGTTTTATGAAGCGAAAATTCTTGACTTGCAATTTTGTGTACTTAATTATACAGCATTTATGAGCAGTATAGTTTTGTTTAATCTCTAAGGCTGAAGATCATGCAACTTTTCAGAATTCGGAAATCCGACAACAATAGATTGACGTTTCCAAGTTACATGAAGTTATTTCCTTTTTCCAGTCTATATTTATTTTTACCTATGGCCAGAACTTTATTATTTAATTGTAGTATCTTTCTAATTAGAATCTTGCAATAAACATATTGTGACAGAACAGGAGGTACTATTTGCTTCGTTACCTATTTTTACTAGGGTACTGTCCGCGTAACAGATGTATATACTTTAATAGATCTGGCTTGTCCTCACAGTTGGCCTGTAGAAAAGTTGATAAATACTAGTTGAGCAGTCTCTATTACAATGTTTCCGAAACTTTTTCTTTAACGGAACACTCCGCAATGTTCTGAGTATTTAGCGGAACACTTTGCTTATTTTTTTTTATAGAGATTAATTCACGTGGTGACCTACTAATTAATTATTCTAGTAGCTCAAGGAACACTCATTCAGGCCTGGTGGAACACTCATTCAGGCCTGGTGGAGCACTCATTCAGGCCTGGTGGAGCACTCATTCAGGCCTGGTGGAGCACTCATTCAGGCCTGGTGGAGCACTCATTCAGGCCTGGTGGAGCACTCATTCAGGCCTGGTGGAGCACTCATTCAGGCCTGGTGGAGCACTCATTCAGGCCTGGTGGAAAACTAGGATTGGGAAACACTGCACTATTTTTTTTTTTAAAGTAAATGGAAACCCTTTCAGAACTTGCGATCTATGGGGCAGATGATGTAAGGGTCATCTGGTTTTGTGGCCGACGGTTAACGAGGGTGTCATGTGGCCAGCACAACGACCAACCGCCTTTACTTCTTCCCAAACTAATGTCACATCCCCAATCGAGCAGGGTGGACTCAGAATTGCAAGAAAATTCCGAAATTCAGAATCTCAATCTTCACCTGGATTCGAACCCGAAAATCTCGATTAGGAAATTAAGCGTTTTATCACTCAGCCACCGAGCCTCTACAGCATTACTAAGTAGTTCGTCACTAAGGTACTTAGGTACATAGGTGGCAGTACTCGGGCCTTTAGATGGTCACCACTATTCGCCACCCTCAATTAGCCGCCTCTGGCAGGCATTAAAGAAAACCTGTTATTTTTATATCATAAGACCGTAGGTTGAAGTGAATTACTTCTATTGTATATTTCATGCCGTGTTTAGATTTAATAAATTCAATGAAAATATAGTCAAGTGAGCTCCACAAATATTTCTGAAGGTTTCCTACCTAGTAGAAGAGTAACATTTACCAGGATCGGAGTCTGAATGATTGAAACAGTTACCCGTAACGGAGTCTGAAGAATTGTAACTTTTATCGGGAACAGAGTCTTCAGAGGTGTAACAGTGATCCGGAACGGAGTCTACTTAGTTGTAACAG